AACTTTAGAAGCACCCTCTCCGTGCGCAAGAGTAGACCTTGTTGATGCTTGTTTAGCCCCGTCATCTACTCTAGGCTGGACCCCCTTGCGGGGCGATTTGTAAGCGCGTTGCCCTAACGCCTGCCTTGGTGGGGCCGCTCTGTGTCCAGGTACGAGACCAGCGGGATGGGAGACTCGCGGGTGAAGGAGGTCCTTCTGGACGAGGACGATGACCTGTGGATGACTCTGCGACACAAACACATCGCCGAGGTGTCCCAGTGAGTGTCCATCCTCTCAGGGGGTGGAGGGGGGATCTGGGAAACTACCCCCAGAATGTTCCAGTATCATGAAATATATTTGCTTCCCCGCTGCATCGCTGGAATCTGCTCACAAAGCCTAGATCTGTTTTATATGAGTGAAAGAACACTGTGCCTTTCCTCTACCAGGCTCAACTCGGTACACAATGTGCACACCCCCTAAACATCCTCACAATCTCTCCTGAACACTAAGCATGTGCTGCACACAAGCACTACGATCTCCATACTGAACACTATTTCACAGGACAGGCTACATGTTCTGGATAGACAGGGGTCACTCTGGTCTTGGGAAGCACAATTCGGCAAGCTCAAATCACCTGTTTCTGTAGCGGTACAGTGCAACAGTTTACTGTTTGAACTGGTAGTAAGTGGAAGAGAGTCATCTACAAGCCCTCAGGAATGGGCACGCAGCTTGCAGGCTTTCGGCAGTAGAACTGGACATTCTCCTGACTCCACCTGCCCCAGGGCTTCAGGGTGAGAGGCACTGAGGCTACCCAGCCCCAGGACCGCAAACGTGGTTGGGAATCTGCAAATCAATCAATCCGATTGCTTTGCCCACATCCCCGCTGAAGCCCCGAGCCCAGGCCAGCGTGCAGAGTAAACCAGTCGCCTCTCTGTCCCCACAGGGAGGTGACCCGCTCCCTGAAGGAATTCTCTGCCAGCAAACGGATGAACACAGGAGACAAGGTAAGATCCCTGGCCCTGCACTTCTAGCACTCACACTTATCACTTGTGAAAGACCATCCGTGAGCACCATCCTCCGCCATCAAGTATACCGCCACGAGGTACAGTGGTGCCTGTTGTGAGTGGCCAAGTAGTGACTTTCCCGTGCATTCACGAGCTTTGCCACAACTAGCTGGTTAATTAGATCATTAGACTGACGATCTGTTATCCACCCTTCTGCAATCCTGCAACCGGAATGACTGGGATAAACTTGTTAGACATTTCGGTATCCGAGTTTGGACAGTGGAATATCCTTGCCCTGTCCTTGGTGCTGTGTGGGACAGGGTGTCCAGTCTGAATTCTAAAAGGGCTGCTAGGCAGTGTCGACTGAGCAAGATCCTGTGGGCCAGCGTCCCAAGTTCCTCTCACCTCCCGATTTTCCTTGTTGTTGGCTGGGCTTGGCCCTGTTGACTGTCCGGTTTGCTTTTGCCTCTCGCAGACCACGATGCGGGACCTGTCCCAGATGCTGAAGAAGATGCCCCAGTACCAGAAGGAGCTGAGCAAGGTGAGAGGCTCTGTACAGTTTACCCTGCGTCTCATGAGTCTTTAAATCCAGCTACTGGAAAGACAGTTCGGGGGGGTAGCTGCTTCACCATGTGTAGTCTGCACAAAGGAACAAGTAATATCACCTTTATATCACCCCTATCACCTCACACAGGGTATTTCCCTTGAACTATACCCAGATTATGTTCAGGAAAGCACCTATATATCCTTACATTTATACAACCCTTTTTTGGACACTCCACTTAAAGCGCTTTACAGGTAATGGGGAATCCCACTATTACCACCAAAGTGTAGTCCTACATGGCATGGCAGCCAGAGTGCAGCAGTACACTCCCCACACACCAGCTCTCAGCAGGAAGGAGAGCAGAGTGATGAAGCCAGTTTATAGATGGGGATTATTAGGAGACCATGATTGGTAAAGGCCAGGAGGAAATTTGGCCAGGACACCTGCATCACCACAAAGCCTCTCCAGTCTGTACACTTGTGTCCATCTGTGTCCACAGTACTCTACTCACCTGCACCTAGCAGAGGACTGCATGAAGCACTACCAGGGCACCGTGGACAAGCTGTGCCGCGTTGAGCAGGTAAGCTCACCTGGCCTTGGGACCGAGCGCTAACCTGCAGCACTGGGCAGGATTGTTTCAGCCCAGGACAGTGGCACTTCCTAGTCCCGAATCCCTAAGGGCTTACATTTCTTGGAAGGGTGTGGGAATGGGATTGTGGGATCACTGCAGTGTGCGTCTTTCTGCCCCTCTCTCAGGACCTGGCGATGGGCACGGACGCGGAGGGCGAGAAGATCAAGGACCCCATGAGGGCCATCGTGCCCATCCTGCTGGACGCCAACGTCTCCACCTACGACAAGATCCGCATCATCCTCCTGTACATCTTCCTCAAGAACGGTGAGCCCGCGGGGCGCCGCTCCACTCCCACCCCCAGTCTGTTCCGCTTGGCTTGCGGCGGGGAAGTCGGAGAGGGTGAGTGAAGCTCTCTCTCTCCCCCTCCGTCTCGCTCAGGGATCACGGAGGAGAACCTGAACAAGCTGATCCAGCACGCCCAGATCCCCCCCGAGGACAGCGAGATCATCACCAACATGGCCCACCTGGGGGTGCCCATCATCACGGATGTGAGTGTCGCCCTCTCCCTCGCCGAGGCCCCGCCCCCTCTCCCGCCTCGCTCGCTCTCTCTCTGACTCCGTGCCCGTCTCTCCCCAGTCCACGCTGCGCCGCCGGAGCAAGCCGGAGCGCAAGGAGCGCATCAGCGAGCAGACCTACCAGCTGTCACGGTGGACCCCGCTGGTCAAGGACATCATGGAGGTGAGGGCTCCCTCCTGCCCCCTGCCACCAGTGGGGCAAGAGCCTTTGCTAGCCAACTGCCCCCACAGGGCAGACGAAGTCCCAGTCAGCGCGCACACTTTCCATAAGAATCACCTTTATTCTATATAGCGCCTTTCAAGCTCACGTTTGCTGTTCAATAAACCACTGCAGCTCATCGCGCCGCCACAGACCACCACAGTAGCTCAGAGTAAAAGCCGCACGGCGGACGTGACCTGAACGAGCAGGAAAGCGGCCGGCCGGGTGAGATCACCACGTTAGCCCTTGCTCTGGCCCAGACCTGACCCTCGTGTCCCTGCCTCCCCCAGGACGTCATCGAGGAGAAGCTGGACACCAAGCACTACCCCTACATCTCCACCCGCTCCTCTGCCTCCTTCAGCACCACCGCGGTCAGGTAGGGCTGCGGGCGGGGAGGGCTCCGTGCCTGTGTGCGGGAATTTATGACTGCAGTGACCCGAGGCTGTCCTGCCGGGGGTGGGGTGGGGGAGGGGTTCTGCGGACAGGGAGCGCAAAGGGGCAAGATCAATAGGCATTATCGAGACGAGAAGAGATCAATAGTCATCAAGGCGGGAGTCTGGCTGTAAAAGGCCTGTGACTAATCCACCAGCTGTGAGGGGGGGGGTTGAGTTGGTGGGGGCTGCACAGAGCAAGAGGGATCCAACAAGGGCCGGACTGGACCGCACTGGACGTCTTCTCCCACCCCGGGAAGAGAGGGAGGCATTTCAATCTCGCTCGCTTCCAGGCATGCGCCTGACGGGCCTCTCTGGACCGCGAGGCTGGAACACACGCGCCGTGGGGCGGGCAGACCACTGCCGTCACCAACCCCCACTGTGGGGGAGAGGGGCCGGGCCTGGAGCTGCTTGTTCAGGGGAATGGGAGCAGTTTGCCTCGGACAAACTTCCCTTCATTTCTGCTTGCAGCTCCAGAGCTCCGACAGCTCACCCTGTGGGGGTCAGGCAGAGATCCGATCCGATAGCTCTGCGCGCGGGGTGCTCTTTGCACATAGATGACCCCCCCAGAGCGCCTCACAGGGGTTGGGAGGGAGGGGGAATATTGTCCAACGAATTCAAGATGGAGGACAGACCTTCGACGAGCATTTCAACATCCCCACTACACCGGATCCAAGTCGCTCTGAAGGGTGTTGTAGGTCAAGGGGTGGACCGTTGAAGAGGCATCGGTTCACCGTTTCAGACGGCGGAACGCAGCTCCAGCAGAGAAGACGATCACTCTCCTGCCGAGGCCCAGCAGAGCATAGCAGAGTGTAGCCCAGCGCCGTGAAACATCGGGGTAACAGGGAGAGAGGGGGAGATCCACAGCCAGGGCGGTAACGTTTCGTCAGTCTGCAGCTGAGTGAGCCAGCAACGACTGGGAACGCGCCGGGGGGGCCCTGCCTTTCGGTGGTCCGAGAATGAGGCCGTTATCAGGCTCTGGGAGGGGGACGGGGGGGGGGGAGGAGGGGCAGAGTGTTAACACACAGAATGCCGTAAGCTAAAGGAAGTGCCCCTCGCACCCCTGTTGCCACAGTGCCCGCTACGGACACTGGCACAAGAACAAGACCCCCGGAGAGTACCGCACCGGGCCGCGCATCCTGGTCTTCATCATCGGGGGCGTGTCCTTCAGCGAGATGCGCTGCGCCTACGAGGTCACGCAGGCCAACGGCAAGTGGGAAGCCATCATCGGTGAGTGCCACTCCGCCACTGGGGAAGGGGGGGTGGGGAAAGTCCGCCATCTTCCAGCGGTGCACGGAGGGTTGGAGCCGTTCCAGGTTCCACAAGCTGCAATTTCCTGCCCCCGTTTGGAGTGACCGAGAACTACGTCTGTATAAAGTCTGAACTCTTAACTCCACAAAGGTCTCTGAAAATCTCAGATAAAGGCAGGGTACCGATTCGGACGACGCGTCTCCCGGTGTCGGGCGGTACGCCGGAACCTGCAGCTGGGACCCGGAGGGGCTCAATCTCCTGTGCAGTGGGAATCTGTTTGGGAAGGGGGTGGGGAAGGGGGCAGACGCCTGTTTCTCTGTATCATGTCCGCATCGGTTCTGGAAGAAGTCACAACCGTCTAGGTGCGAATGCGTCTTAGAAATGAATCTTGCACACGCTCAGGTGAGCAGCAGCTCCTCGTCTCCCGACGGCACAGGCGTGGCGTCTCTAACAGGCGCCCCGGCTGTGCGTCTGTTCCCACTGAAGAACGGTCTTCGTGTTAGCAAGCCAGTAACTCAGGGACTGCGGGGGGGAGATCCGAGTCCGCTGCTGGTTTAGTTGTGGGCGTGTCTCGTTGTGTGTGCGTTAAAACTCTTGTTGTTGAAGTGCAGCCGCTCGGCCCTGTCCTGTAGGCACACTGCCCTGTCTGTGTTGAGCTCTTTCCTTGCCTGGCTTGGCCCGCTACCCACTGCCCACTGCCGGCCTCGGGCCTCAACAAGCCCCCGCTGGCTCACGAGCTTTCTGACCTTTCACCCCTCACCGCCAGGAAGAGTTCATCTACACACGACATGGGCGCTGGCAGAGAAAACGGATTGTATTTTAGACTGCAGACATTATCAGGTGTCTATTTCCACGAGGTCTCTATTTCCACGAGGGGAGGGGGAAAAACAGTTTTTGAACTCTAATTTCGGGTCTGTTTGCTTTTAAAGTCTCACTATAGAACTCCCCGACCTCCAGACAACAGCAGATTTCATTAGGCATTGAGCAACACCTAATGACAACTGCACACTCTCCCCCCTGCCACTGCCCCCACTCCAAGGCCTCCACAACTTCATCCTCAGGGTAGAGTTGTAGGCCCTGCCCAGCTGCAAGGCTCCGAGACAGGCAGGGGGTGGCAGGAGAGCTGGGAGGCCGACGAGTAGGCCCAGCCCGAACTGAAAAGCTCAACGCGCTTCGCGATTCACACCGATTCCAACTACTCCCATGGCACCTTAGACGCAGACCCTTGTGTCTCAAAGCATATCACTATTGTAATGTTTGTCATCGAAACAGTTGTATCTGTGTGAGCACCTCGGGCAGAGTCACTTCAACCACCAGTGAGCCATTCCAGGATGTTCCGCAATTCCTCCCAAAAAAACCCATCCCATCTCGCCGTTCGACACGCGAGAAATTGGAATTGATTTCCTGTAGTGACTTACAAAGTCTCTCGGGGCGCACGGCGGAGATTTCCCGTCACCCCAGACTGCGGGGGAGCTGGAGCCAGGCCTGTATACCGCGGCGTGCCAATCTGTATATCCTGGTCCAGCTCCCTCTTCAAGAGCCTCGAGTTCCCAGAGCTACCGCCTGGGATGACCGCTTTTGAGGAGAGCGGAGCTCGTCCCCAAACAGGCTGGACATTTTTTTTTGCATGAAGAAGGGTCCGATTCTGAAGGCCCGCAGGTCTGGGCCCACGCAGTAACTGCTCTGGCAGGAGCAGCTGGTGGTCCTGGCCTGGGTACAGGGCTCGGGCTTCTCTCGTCCTCGTCGCCCCAGACACGAGCAGCTGCCACGACTCACTGATCTCTGGAACGATGAGGTGCGTGTCTGTCCCCGCGTTGTGACACATCCTCCACGTGTGAAGAGTCTCAGCATCAGCGGGAGGGTAGGGGGGTCCCCCTTTCGATACTTCCTGTGGACCTGTACCCCCGATGGGTGGGCTCGTGGAGATTCCCCAGCTGGAATTCGGAGAAGGGTTTGGAAAAGGGAGCTGGGACTCGCACACGCCAGGAGGTACAGCCACAGACTGCTGCTCTTGTAGCTGCGCAGAGCTCCATGCAATAGTGGTTCCCAATCTTTAGAATCGGGATTTTGGGGGGAGTGTGTGTGCGTGCTTGTGTGTGTGTGCGTGCGTGCGTGCGTGCGTGCGGGGGGGGGTGATAAGGGATGTTTAGGGTGGCATTACTGCCACTGTGCGGTTCTGCTTCAAACGTTCTGGTCAGAAATAGGTAAATGAAAAGGTCATGTGGCATGCTCTGCAAATCAGCCAGCCTCTGTTCCTTCGCAGGTTCCACCCACATGCTCACCCCCACCAAATTTCTAACGGACCTGCAGCACCCCGACTTCAGGGAGTCCTCTAGGGTGTCCTTTGAGGACCAGGCTCCTAAAGAGGAGTGAGAGACAAAGCACACTCTGACAAAGTAAAGGCAGCCTTGCAAAGAAGCCCTTCTGAACCCCTCCGTAGCACAAGGGCTCTCTTTACCTCGATATCCTCTTACTGCTCTGCTCAGGGATGGCAACCTCAGGACCACCGCACAGCAGCTCGGGCCCCCCCCCCGGCACTGCCAGCTGTGGGCTCTTACAGAAACCCGGTCGCCCCCGACTCGTCGCGTTGCATGAGTTGAACCCCTCCCGGTCCAGAGAAAAGTGGCCGAAAGCGAGGCACCCAGCATCAGGCGGCCAGCGCCCCGTGTTGGGCTGGCCACCACAGCAGAGCCCCGCAGCTCGTAAAGCCTGGAGCGGACCGGACTGCTATTCAGCGGGAGTCTGACTGCCATCCCTGCACTGTTCTCTTCGGGTGGATTAAATCACAGGCTCCAGGCGCCGTCCTCCCAGGATTTTTCCCCGCTGGGAGCAAGTGGTGCATTATTCTTTTTTTTTCGCTCCTCCACCTGTTTTGTGTTTCGTTAGGCGATTTAATCCACCCCCGAGATTCATTTTTGTTTTTGTTTTTTCCAAACTCTTGTCAGAATCAGCTGGGTCGTTTTTTCTACTTTCTCCGGAATTTGTTTTGACTTTTCAGTTTTTTTTTTTCCCCATCCACCCCCGATCTTTTCCAAAATCCTAACCAAGGCGGCGAATCGGCCGTCTAGGATGTTAAAAATCAAAACACACGCACACAGCAGTTCCTCCCTCAGATATCACACAGCCCTGTCGCCGCCCCCGCCCCCTCAGTGGAGAAGTGGGGGGGGTATTTCTTCCGCCATTTTGGAATTCCTGTTCACGGAGGGGAAATGCTGTTTTCCACACCCTGCGGAATGTCCCGCGGTGTTCCGGGACGCCAGCCTGGCTCCGCCCGGCAATGGCGCAGGGGGAACGCTGTGGCTCAGCGATCCCCACGGGGAATTCGCCCTCTCTCTGCTCCCGAGGGTCACACTGCGGTGAATCCGGAGATGTGCGGGCAGGAAAACCGGGCGATTCCAAACGGGGTGGATTCCCGAGCTCCACATTTTTTTTTTTAAATGGGAGGGCCGGAAAAGATTCTGTAGGCAGAGTCGAACCCGACCCAATCGGTGGTGCTGGTCCAATCAGCTCCAGCAACCCCTGGAATAAGCCTTCCCCTCCTAGAACAGAGGCCCAGACCGGCGGGGACAGAACACACACACACACACGTCCCTTCCCTCAGGAGGCTGGGGGTGTAGTCCTGCTCACTCGACAGGCCTCTAGCGCAAAACAGCACAACCGGACACCCAAGACACAGAGCGCTCAGCCAAGGCCTGCTGGCCGAGCTCCGGAAGACACTTCCCTGGGATACCCATATCCAGCACTGTCCTTCTGGATACCGCCCCCTGAGGAACAGGATAATGCATCTCTGCCCGTCGCCCGCGCAGAACGACAAACTTTTGGCTCCCAACAGCTCATCTAGGTCACAGGCAGGCCCCTGCTTTCTCCATAGCAGTGCGCCTGCTTAATGCCTCAGCGCCATAACATTCACGCTGCTTACCGGCGGCTCGACATGTTATCTAGAAGGCTGGGCTCTGAGCTCACTCCCACACACCGCGAGCTTAACGGCAAGTCCCCCTCACCCCCCCACACAGACACTGATCACTTCCTTCTCAGATAGGAGCACGCCATCGAGGGACACTTTGATACGACAGGCACACACGTGCACCAGCTTCGGCCACCCCCAGATCCCATCCCCAGGCCAGCTCGGACCCCGGGACCCTCACACCCACTCCCCTGATACCCCGACACCTCCTGCGGCACAGATTGGCGTCGTCGGCGTCGAGTTAACTGGGGCCACTAACCTGCACAGGGCTAGGAATTGGGAACCTGCTAAAGCAATAACCGTTTTTTTTTTTTAAATCATTTTACTTACTTTTAATTTTCTACAAGTAGAGCTGCTACCCTGTGCAGTATGGGAGAGCATACTGCCGCGTCCAGCACCGCTTGCAGAAAACAGAAAGCCATCGATGTTTTTTTTTAACAATAAAACGGCCGTTTTCCTTTCTATTCATGTGTGTTTTTTTTTTTTAATTCCTTTGCTGAGCCACACTGCCGCGGTTGCCGTCTTGTGCGTTTCTGTGCGCAGTGAGCAAAGCTCCAGGTATTCTCCGGGCCTGCCGGACCTGACAAGCCCAATCCAAGTTGCTCTCCGTGCTGTGCACGTTTACGCACTCTCACACAATCTGCCTGCGTACCCCGGGGGTACATCAACTTAAACCGGCTTGTCACGTCTGGTCTTTTTAACGTTTGCGCAGAAAGAGGGGAAAAAAAAATGAAACACCAAGTTTCATAGCGAGCTAAATAAACACCCGCAGGCTGTTTAAATGAAAGAGTTCTTTGTTAGCGGTCCAGTCGAGCTGAGCAAATACTGGAGTTTCTCCAGTAAAATTACAACGTCTGGATCTCGGCACTAGACTCTTCAGCTCATTTCTGAGCTCGTGGATGGCACTACATCCCTGGACTGAAACAGCGCCACCTGCCAGGCAGCAGTGATACCTGCAGCTTTGCTACAGAAACAAGTGATCAAAAAAAACCCAAGAAGAAACATCGCTCCTATATGGTGTAAGAAATGTGTCTTCAGCTTTTACAAAAAACAATAACGCAATACCTCTATTTTGTTACTTCGTCTGCTCTCAAACTTCGTTTTGCTTTAACTCCGGTTAAGAAGCAACGCAGGATGGTTTAACAAATGCAAAAGCTTGTTTCATCTGTTTGTCCATCCTGCTGCAGTCTGTAGACCGTTGCTTGCATGGCATGGTGACACTCGCATCGTGTGCTGAGAGTATCACTTATCAATCTGGTCTGGTCCGCTGGGGCTGCTCTTGCCCAACTATGATGTCACCACCTAGTGTGTGATGTCATTACAGCATAGTGACATCACTGTCCGGTGCACCATCAAACCCCACGAGTGAAGAGTTCCTGTCTGGCATTCTGGATTGTGGTGACGTCATCGTACAAAGAAATGGAGAAAGGCTGCACTGTGTGCAGTCTGTTCTTCAGACAGAGCATGTGCATGCAGCTCTTCTCTGCATCTCTCCAGTGGTTATTCGCCCCTTTAACTAATCTGAAAGATCTTGTTAAGGCACTCCCAGCCTGGTTAACCCATATTTAAAACCTGTGGTAACTCCTTGCAGATCATTAGTTAGCTGGATGAACAGTAAACGCTACAAAAGCTTTTGAATTTCCAGCTTGGGAAGTTAGTTTCCTCGGATTTTAAATCTTCCTGTAAATCAGAACAGCTGAAAACACATTTTCAGAGTAACAGCCGCAGTCAACCTGACTAACACCAGTCCGTCTGTCTCTCTCTCTCCCCCCTTCGCTCTCCTTCCTGCAGGGTCGACTCATGTCTTCACCCCCACCCGGCTTCTCGATGCACTAAAGACGATGAATAAACCAGACGAGGAAAACACCAGCTAAAAATCACCTCCCTGGCCTCGCTCCCCTTTCGCAGATCTGATCTTCTGCCCCGCCCCCTCCAGTCCCCTCCCATCCATCCACCAATCAGACAACCTGTTGTCTGGTGACATCACAGTGATGTCATTCTTCCTTCCTATATTAAATGTATGCATCTTGCTAGAGAAAAAAAATAATCATTTTAAAAAAAGAATTGCTGAAACAAAATAAGAAAAAAAATATATCTTTGAGGCTCCTCTTTTACAATGGATGCAAAGATTTAAACGTTGAAAAAGCACCATTTAACGTTAAGTACCAAATGTAACATTGAATGCTCTATGAAACCTGCTAGAATGTGTAAGACTGTTTGTGACCCTCTGATTTATTAATAGCATCTATCTTTCCTTTCCGCTTCGTCTGGGTGGTCAGAGGAGGAACGTGTTCAGGCAGTGCACACAGGAGTACCTGCTCTCCACAGGGAACACAGTGCACAGGAGACAGGAATTCTGGGAGACATGATTTAAGGGGTCCCAGGAAACTCTGGATAGTAGACTCCTATCCAACCTGTTCCCGAGGGATCCTGCAAAATGTGCTTCGTCAGTGAGGCCGGGCAGCTGGACAGGAGAGTCTGGGATGGGGTTCATACTGGAGTCCGCGAAAAAGGGGGGTTGGGGGGAGGGGGGCGGAAGGGAGCGGTTTCAGACAGGAAAACAAAATCCTGCTTCCCAGCTTCCTCCTCTGACCCACGGCTTAAGGAAGCATTTCTCCTCCATGAGTAAGTACAAAAAAAAAAAGTAACTTTTTGTGTCAAAAGGTCATTGCTTGCAAACGTTTAAGGGGCCAATTGTATTTCAGTATTGTATTCTGTAAAATGAAGTCTTCTCACTGGCTAGTAATGAAGTTTTACCCTCCATGCACTGAGTTACGTGTTGTGTAAGATATGTTACTGTTTAGCGTCTCTCCGTTCCGGTGATGTTCTGGCTGTGACGTAGTGTGACCGTTTTTTTCTTTGGATAATGCCAAGCAGCTGCCACTGTGCTTTGTGACGTATTAGCTCTAGCTGTAGTGGTGAACGGGAAATATATATATATAGCGATTTTGTTGGACTTGTTTTGCTCCTGGTGCGACGTAACACTTTTCCACTGGTTAACAGCTTTGCAACAGCAACGAAATCTATCAGTTTTGTTTCTTCCCCCCACCACCAAGCTTCCAGTTTCCCTCCCCCTCGGGTAATCCGTTTGTAATGTGCACCCTGCGCGCTCCGTCACCCTTGGAGTTTCGGTTTTTTTTTTTTTGTTGTTGTTGTTGGGGTTTTGTTTTCCCAATTTTGACGTTGTATAGAGATCACTGTATTGACCGGTTGATTTATATCAAAACTTATTTATCGAAGAAACAAAAGGTTTTAAAACTTTTTAAGTTCGTCTGTCTTGAATCCGTTTTAATTTATTGGCAATCTTTGTCTGCGAGCGGTGAAGCACAAAACTGTACTATACATGTCCTATAAGTGATGTATTAAAGCTGTCTAATAAATTGGCTTCCATTTAAAGTGCGGATCCACACGCGCGTCGCGTCTTATTTAAAGCGCCAACTCCGGCGCTGGTGTTTGTAACGCACCTGTTCTTTAACGGCGAATTACCGGCGCTCTCACTCCGAGTGGGCAAAAGCAAGATTAACAATTAACTCTCCCTAAATTGCGTTTGGGATTTGTTCAGTAAATAAAGATAAAGGTCCACTCAGCTTTCATGTTTTTACACATCGAAAGAGTTTGCAAATACGCTCTTTACATCCATTTTGAACTGCTCAAACACGGGACCCTTCCCAGACATTTCACTTCATGTATATAACAACGTGCACGTATAACAATTCAGTTCATTACAAAACACATTTTCGTATTATTTCCCAACGGGATTGAAGTACCGTGTATTTCTTTGAAAAATACCAATATCAGCCTCTTTTGATATGTTTGCAAAACAGGCCAGGAAGTTTTGACATTTTGCAATAGGACATCATCACAAAATAAATGCGGGACTGTTTCAAGGCCACCTTCACAAAGGGCGCAGTTATCATCTGTACTAATTTTAGATACTTTATTGATCCCGTGAGGGAAATTGCGGTGCAACAGCCGCTTAGCAGGGTGTAACGAAATAATACAATAATGCATCTTTACATTTACAATTAGATTTAAATCTCTGCACAACAAGGGTTTTGACTGGATCACTGCCCCCCGACTGTTCCACTAGCTCTCCTGACACAACTCTTTCTATCCCAGGTTTATCAAGGAGACAGGCAAGCCTGCCGCACTCACCTGGGCTCGTCTCGGCTTCTCTCATAGCGCTACACTCACAGGTGGGTCCCGCAGGGCCGAGATCCTCGTCTTTGCTTCCGGCAGCTCTTACGGCCCTCCCTGACGTCACCAGTCGCCGAAGGCTGGGGACACGTGACGAGCGCTCCTCAATTAAGCCAACTAACGGGTTCAATTAAGTGAAGGAGGAGGCTTGAGGTCTAGGCCGCTGCTATTTTCAAATGGGGTGCTTCTGTGACCCATAACGACATTGATCCTGAGAATCGCTTAGAAATCGACGAGGAATCTGAAATTGGCAAACAACCTGTCTGATTTGGGGCTGACCACCCCACCCCCGGACAGCCCATTCTCGGGTCGCGTTGGTAAAACCACGTCCAGGTCAGAGGTCACAGGTCACCTGGCCCACTTCCCCAGCTAAAACCGCATTTAACAAAAAATCGTCTTTTAGGAGACCTACACCATTCAGCTGTTACAACTATAAAAGAGACTTCGGCGATTCTTTTACAATGACATACCTCCTTTTAAAAGCCATTTCCCGTCACCGTGTTTTTTTTTTACTAGATGCTGGTGGAGCAGAACGTGCGTCTCGCACTCTTGAGGTTATCAGTATTTAAACCCTGGTGGCTGTGATCGGTGCACAATACATCTTCATTATTGTGCTGAGAAAAATGCCTGAAAGAGACACTGTCACTGGAGAAAGTGCTCCGCTGTATAAATCAGTTATAGTTCAAGCAGGGAGCTGCGTCAGCATGCGTAGGCTGCAAAGGAACAAGTAATAGGTTTATTCCCGCTGAAAAGAGAAGAAAAGAAACACAACGTTTCGGCTGTGGAGCCTCGTTCGGGTTTGACACACCCGACCTGATCGTCGTCACCTGTAAATGTTGCTTGAGCAAACGATAAGGCAGCACATTGCACCCACGTCCTCTCTGTTCAGATAAATGCCTTTCAGGATGTGTTTCTTAATGTGCAGCATTTTCGTTTTTCAGCTAGGTTTAAAGGGACGTCATGTCACAGAAAGTTTACGGGTCCATATTCAAGAATTAAAAATAAAAGCCGCCTGAAACATATTTGCTGCAAATTTTTATTGTGTGCAAATGACGTCATTACAAAACTTAGAATCTCTAAGCAAAGCTAAACTGTGAATAGATTTTTTTTTAAAAAAACTAAAAGCATTCTGAAAAGGACTGTATATCTCTAGTTAGATTAGTAGAAAAATATGTAATTATTTACGTACATTTACAAAAATAATTCGGAATCACATCTTGACATGAGCTCTCAGCACCACGACTCGATATGGGTAAAATACACTACTAATTTTATAATTATTTCACTTGCTAGGAAATTTAGACTACACGAAAGTCTTAAAATCGCGATTGAGGAATGTCTTAACAATAACCCTGACCACAAACGCACAAAGCAAAACCTATAAATTACCAAACACGCATTTTAACACCAAACAACCTCATACACAGAACATGAAACTATTACAGACCAGAAGTGAATAAACTAAGACAAGAGACATACCTGAAAAAAGACTGCTAAGACGATAACGGGATCACAGCTGTAGTCGGAATGCTGCATTTCGATTGGCCGTGGAAAACTGATCAGTGCGCTCTCCCAGCCAATCAGCCGAATGACGGATTACTCCGCCCCCTACTCACTATAGATCACAAATCCCTCTAACTCTGTCCAGGTGTGATAGGTCTCCATCTGCTCAAGACCAAGGAAGGGTTTCAGCCAGTCCAAATAAGTAATAAATTAGCTCAGACTGAAGGAAAACCAGAACCTTTCAAACACTCCAGGACAGGTGCTCCACACTGCTAATTCTTCTCAACCACAGAACCTGCTCTGACATCTGGAATGTTTAAAAATAGTTTTTCAGACGATCTAAGAAATCAAAGACTGAGATCAAAGGACAGGCGCACCACCTGGACTGTAAACCTTGAGATTTGCTCAGAAAGTATTGCATTACTTAAAAGTATAACTTGCATTGTTCAGTGCCTTGTTGTGAAAGGTGCTATATACAAACAAACTGAATTGAATTGAGAAAGGAGGTATGCAAAGACCTTAGATGAAACATCTGCACATTTTGGTATTTTCCTTTAGAAAGCTGGATTAATGTCCCAGTCCTGTCCAACCCGAAGCAAGCGAATCCCCTCATGAGCTCCAGAAACATCCTTCTGAACTGCAGGCTGGACCAGCGGGGATGACCAGCAGCACAAACACAACCGGCCACGACCACCAC